GAACTCCAAAAAGGAAATCAAAAAAATAACACAATTTACAATCACTCCCCGAGAGATAAAATATTTAGGAATAAATCTAACAAGGAACATATAAAACAAAGAAAACTACAAAACACTATTGCAAGAAACCACAAAGCCAGCAGTTTGAGCCCTCCCCCCACCCTCCACTCCTGCAAAGAAAGATGAGGCTTTCTACTCCCGTAGATTTACAGGCTCAAAAACCCTATACAGGGTCACAAAGAGTTGGAAATGACTCCACAGTACTTAACAACATCACCAACAACAACCCAATCATGATATATAGATTGATATAGATATATATAATGAGATTCTGATCCAAATTTCAACATTTTTAAACAACATGGAAAAACTAATTACTTACTTTATATGGACAGGAAAGGAGCCTTGAATAAATAGAACATTATTTAAGAAGAGCAAAGTAGGAGGCTTCACACTTCCTGATCTTAGAGTCGACTACAGAGCCTGGTACTAACACAATGACAGACACACAGACTGTGTCTGTGTTCAGTGGGACAGAACTGAGAATCCAGAAGTAAATCCACCCACCTATGGACAGCTGATCTTTGACAAAAAGTCAAAGTCTATTGAATGGGGAAGAGACAGTGGTTTTAATAAACAGTGCTAGCGAAACTGGAAATCCATTTGTAGAAAAGTGAAACAGGATCTCTACCTCTAACTGTACGCAAAAAATTAACTCAGAACGGATCAAAGACCTCAATGTAAAATCTAAAACCATAAAGTTCATGGAAGAAAGCATAGAGACAAACCTAGGGACACTAATTTGAGGTATAAATACACTATCAAATATAACTAAAATTGTACAAATAACAGAATATAAACTAGATAAATGGGGTCTCCTAACAGTTAAATGGAGTCCTGGTGTGACACTGTAGATAAACACTGGGCTGCTAACTCATAGGTTAGCAGGTGAAATCCACCAACTGCTCTTTGGAAACCCTATACAGGGTCAATATGAGTCAGAACTGACTCTATGATACTTAAAAGCAACAAAAATATAAATACTTAAGCTTATTTAAAAACGTCATTAAAAGAATAAAAAGAGAACTACACACTGGACCGGGAAGAATTTTTTGGCAGTGACATATCTGACAAGGACCTAATCTCTAAAATTCACAGGAAATATCAACACCTCAAAAACAAAGAAGACAAACAATCCAACTTAAAAATGGGCAAAGGACATAAATAGAGACCTCAGCCAAGAAGACACTCAGGCAGCTAACACACGAGGTAAGATGTTTGCAGTCATTATCCATTAAAGATACAAATAAAAATGACAATGAGGTACTATCTCACTCCGCAATAATGGCACTAATGAAATAAAGAACAACAAATGCTGGCAAGTCTGTGGGGAGATTGGCATTCTCATTCACTGTTGGTGGGACTGCAAAATGGTCCAACCCCTATGGAAAACTACATGTCGCCTCCTTACACAGATAACTATAGAAATAGCATGCAATCCTGAAATCCCACTCGTAGGGTACAGCTTAGAGAAATGAGGGCTGTGAAACAAATGGACACACACACGCCCATATTATGACGAGTGAAATAGAAGAGTAAGTCATAAAACATCGCTGCAAAATCATAGAAATCTTTATGAAACAAAAATATCAAAATGTAAAGCTATCATTTCTTGACCTCTATTTAGGTCTATTTACGAGAACAGAAAGCCTCGTCTTTCTCCCGTGGAACATGCGTGCGAAAGCTGGACAGTGAATAAGGAAGACCGTAGAAGAATTGATGCTATTGAGTTATGGTGTTGGAGGAGAATATTGAAAGCTTCATGGGCTGCCAAAAGAACCAATAGATTCATTTTGGAAGAAGTGCAGCCAGAGTGCTCCTTGTAGGCCAATATGGCCAAACTTCATCTCTCTACTTC